CTCATCTACCTAGTTCTGTTCGATTACATCAAAGAGAATCAGGATAATATTGTAGTTATGTGTGATTACAGTAATCTGCTGTTAGGGTTCAACCAATCACCTTGTAGCTTTGCATGTAATCTATTTTGGAATGTTTTATAGGATGGGACAGAGAGTCAAGTGCAAGTCTTTTACCAACGGTAAGTGTTAAAGTAAATTTACACGTCTAGTGCTATAGATTATGTAGGGACACATGTCATAGAAGGAGATACACGATAGTTGCAGAAATAGAGAGGTCCTTTAGTAGAGGTGAAATGCTGAATTTAGTTGTGTGTTGCCCCACCCAGTTGGGCCTCTATTGTGGAAAGTTTTAAATATTTGACACTCTGAGGGGTGTATAAAGATGAGGAGAGATTGAAGCTAAGGCATAAAATGGACCCAATAGAGAAGAAAGGGAAAAATAACAAGTAGTAGGAAGGAACATAAACAAGGGATAGGAAGTGGGTGGTGATAGGGGTCCTCCTAGTCTGTCCTGTATCAAAGACGTAGGGGGTTATTCACTAAAGAGCCATAGGATGTAGCCAAATGTTAGGCTAATCCGTCGGCTGCAGACACCCTTTGGTTCAACTGAACTGAAGGGCTGCTATATGCGCTATTCTCAATAGTGCGTACAGCAGCCGAACTAAACAGCCGAATGCACATGCTTCTGCTCGGCAAAGCTGAACAAAGAGCCGTAGGGGGTAGAATGGTCTGCCGAAGTGGATCCAATTCCCGATTGTTAAATAATAGAATAAAAAAAAGCATGGGGCTCCGTTATAGGTCTGGTAGGAATTTGAAGGGGGACCCCAAAAACATGGGGTCCCCCCTAAAATCCCATACCAGACTCCTAATCCAAACAGTGGCCTGGCGGAGCAGCTCGAAAAACGATGGACGATGCCTGCCAACTGACCAAAATAAAAAAAGGCCCGCCGAACACCTGCAGTAAAATGACAGGTCCGACCCGAAGGTAAACAAATGGGTGGAGCAAATCCCAGCTCAGTATCCCCAAATGGCATGTAAACAAATAGGTGGAATGAGTCATAGGACTTGCACCGCCTCTTTGTTTACATACCATTTGAAGACAGAGCTGTCATGGAATGAAAACAGATGAGGCGGAGCAAGTCGTGATGTAATTTTGCGTCGGGTATTTGGCGGTAGCAGACAAGTTGGTGGGCCTTTTTTTTTAATTATATTTCAGTGACGAGTTGGCAGCTGTTGTTCGTGACAATTTTTTTTTGGGGGGGGGGGGGTTTAAAATTTTTTTTTTTTTTTTTTATAAGGGACTTGTCAAAAACTTGTGTTTTTTCACTCTACAAGAGTTAAAGCAGACTTTTACACTCAAAAATCTAATTCTACCAATGCATCCATCTATGATGATTAATTATAACATAGACATGTCAGGTGTAAAATGCTGTGATTATGAAATACTTACACTTGCAGAGCATTCACTTCCTGCTTCGAAAGGGCAAAATGACTTCAGTTTGCCAAAGCAATGCGCACAGGGATTGCCTTATCAGCAGAGCATTGCTGGGAAATCTCATCTGTTATCTCAGGGAAAGGCTCCTCCCCTGAGATGGTGTGCATGGTCACATGCCCTAGTCACATGCCAGAAATCAAGGAAGTAAAAGGGAGAGCTAGTAATCTGCCCTTAGTAAACATGGCCACTGTCAGAAGAAAAGAGAAATAAGGTATGTAAAGAATACAAAGCTGGCAAATATCTAGAAGTATGTGTTGTAGATTGTCATTACTAAACATTTCTAAAGGTGTGTTTGTTGTTATTTTAAAAAGGTATGGGTAAAGGTCCGCTTTAAATCTTAAAAATGCATGTATCTTAACTATTATCAAAAATGTAGCTTATTTGTGTATCAGTCGGCTACAGGATTTTGATGGATGAAATATGCTCATATTCCAGCCGTGTCTCTACTACATATATCCCAGCGACAATAATAGGGGAAAGATGGCTGCAATAGCCACTACACCCTAGGCATGCTTCGATTTGCTGGATTGCAGTCTGTGTTCCCTGGGTGCAGCATTATGGTCACCACACTTAACTGATATACACAGCCAGCTATACCTGCAGTGAGGCCTGATTTAAAAAAAAAAGAACAGAGGCACAGTGTGGATTTTAATGTATGGGGGTGTGGATAAGGGCAGAGACTCGACCACTAGTAACATCGGGCAACCAAAGGGAAGGGGGCAGCTCCCACTTCCCCTCCGCTTTACTCACTTCAGTTGAGCAAAACCATAAAGGGGTCGCTAGGGACAGTGTCACAACTCCCCTGGATAGCACCCTGCAGCTAACCACATACCAAGGTGGGCACCTAACAGAGATTGTGCCCAAAGTGTTATGGTAGGCTGGCCCTGTGCCTTCCATCCGGCAGAGCCCAGTTGCTGAGGGACACTGACCCGGAAGCTGCAAAGTTACCATGGATAGTCACAGCCAGAGAAACCTCTCTGAATCTACCGTTGTCCTATACTACAGGTGAAACTCGAATAATTAGAATATCGTGCAAAAGTTCATTTATTTCACTAATGCAACTTAAAAGGTGAAACTAATATATGAGATAGAGTCATTACATGCAAAGCAAGATAGTTCAAGCCGTGATTTGTCATAATTGTGATGATTATGGCTTACAGCTCATGAAAACCCCAAGAACCCCAAATCCACAACCTCAAAAAAGTAGAATATTACATGCAATCAATAAAACAAGGATTGTACATAGAACAATATCGGACCTCTGAAAAGTACAAGCATGCATATGTACTCAGTACTTGGTTTGGGCCCCTTTTGCAGCAATTACTGCAATTACTTTTGCACGATATTCTAATTATTCGAGTTTCACCTGTATATGCTCAAGAAATAAAGGTTTTGCCTTCACATACGCTGACATGCTGCTGCTGCTAAATTTGGCCTAAGCATCAATGACTTCAGGTTACAAAAGGGTTAATAGAAAATTGTACTTGGAAATCAATTTAACATGTTGACAGCTATGGTCTTGTTGCACAGCATAAGATGGTCTTTAAATTTGGGGTTATTTTTTCCTAAAATAAAAAAATACCTGGAATAGTTTGCATTGTTTTCATGTCAAGGGAATGTTATTTTATCATCTCGGTGTAGACGTAAGATTGAACTTTTGTGGTGGCCTTACTGAGACCTAAGAGAAGCACATGTTCTACATTTTCTGATGAATGATGCCTGACTGATATCAGCACTGGGGAAGCTATTGGGTGTCCGCGTGTTCTTGCTAAAATGTTACACTATATGAGAGAGCAGCATGAAATGTGATCCCAATGATAGGTATGCTGGATTTGTGTTCCTGCAAAACCTGCCACTATTTATTTGTAGTGACTTAGAAACATTGCCCTGAACTGCAAAAAGCACACTGCTCTACATTGTGGTGTCTTCTAAGCTTATAGTCCCATAGGCCTGGCTTCAAGTGGGAAACGTCACCTGTATATTCATGATTCCAAGGACAAGTCCACTTTTACTTTATCCTCCGTACCCAGAGTGCAGCGTGCCATGTTAAATCCTTACCTTCCTCCTTGTTTCAGCAATACTCATTGTCTGACTCTGCACGGCCTTGCCACCAAAAAATGTCTCTGACTCATATTATTAGTTCATATCTACCCCATGCATTGCTATTGGTGAGCTAGATTTCCATGGCAGGTAATGTACTATGGATTATGTCAGATTACACTCATTCCCACAATTTCATGGCAAGAAGCAATCAGTTATGGTTATTATGATGCATGTAAATCCTCAACTGTATATTTTGGACAACAACAAAAAATGTCATTTAGTTTCCTTTTATTCACTTATATGGAGGATACACTTTGTGGCTATTTACATGTATTTTTATTATGGAAGGATGTGCCCCCTAGTGGATTTATCACGGAGTGCTTTATATTGGTGGATTTATCACGGAGTGCTTTATATTGGTGCTCTTTGTTGTCCACTGAATATTCTACAATATGCTAGTTGTCTGGAAGTTTCTGGCTCCAAGCACACCCCCTGTGACTAGGGGGGCTGCATTGCTAGCCATTTCTGAGAATACTAGTTGTCTGACTTCAATACATTAGACCTACTGACAAAGAACAAAGTGTGCACAAAATGAAAGCCTGAAATCTATATTTTGAACCTTGCTTTTGGGTCATAAAGTACCAAAGCAATCAGCATGACAGCCAGCCAAGCAGCATTTTCAAAGGAGAATCTGCAATAGTAGCCTCCATATTTTTCTCATGAAAAGTTTATTTTCAGTACATGCTTCAGTACATTCAGAGATCCTCATCCGCAGCTTTGTCTTGGCATGTTATGACAGCCAGAGAGAGCTAACATTTGCAGAAAGGGAAGACAATGCTTGCGTACATCTCACCTCAGTACAAGGTCTCTTTATCCCTTTTACTGCCACTGTGACAGATACTACGATGAGGCAGTAATGGGATGTAAACACGCCCACAACTGCAACATTAATTGTGATCTTTTTCAATGTTAGAGCTGGCTCTGCCATTTCATCTAGAAGTGATCACTTCTCCATTGGCTTGCTATGTAACCTTGGAACCACAACATTCTTCTTCAGCAGGGAGTGGTGTGAGAAGTTCCCTGGTCTTCTCTGCTAAACCACGGCTGACTGTGGCCGGATGTACAGCAGATCAGAGACTCTGGCTGACTCAGTTTATAAACAAGCGGTGTTATTACTTAGATTGGCTATATTGTTTAGTGATTGAAAGGATTTGTATCCTCTTGTGTCATTTAGTGCATTTTCAATACCATCTGAAATGGAATTTTTTGTGTCTAACCCTAAAAGCTCAACTGAAAGGTTTGTCTCAGCTTGGAGTAACTTCCAGGACTGAGGGAAGCCCTCCCATTGAGCTGTGAAGAGCAGCATGGGATTGAACTTCAGCTTAAAGAATTCTTCTGAAAAAAAATGTTTGAGAATGGCAGTAGCTTAGATGTAACATCGCTTCTTCTTTTCATAATATAGGTTCATTTGGAACAGCCGGCAGAATATGCAACCAGTCATCCCGTGGCATGGATAGCTGTGAGGTCATGTGCTGTGGAAGAGGATACGATACCGCCCGGGTTACTAAAATGGTAAAGTGTGAATGTAAATTTCACTGGTGCTGTGCTGTGCGCTGTAAAGACTGCCTTGAGACTGTGGACGTGTACACATGTAAAGCTGCCAGAGATGCAGTCTGGAGGGAGAAAATGTAGACACCCTGGCCACTATTCTACCTGCTCTGAAGGGCGCATATGCTGTAAATGACTGTGGATTGAAAAGAGTTGCTCTATTCCTTTATTATACCACTTTTAAATTATAATAACTTATATTGTAAATTAAGTCTTATTATTGCAAGTTATTGAAATATATTTGAGCTGTCAAACTATTGAAGATGGTGTAATATTCTCTAAATGTATACATGTATAGGCTGACTTGATGTGTTTTGTATTGAAAACACCAAGTATGATCTGTGCGACCCCATCAAACAAGATGATGATAAATCAGTGCTGTCTCAGTGTACAGAATGTTCATGTTCTAGTTCTAACACTGAACTTGTGTGTACCATCGGAAATGATTTCACATACCAGTAATCAAGTCCTCCTATCTCATCACCTTACATCTGTGAAATAAAAGAGAAATTGGGTTAAGTGGTTATGTCATTTAGAATGTCTTCATCCTTCGTGTTTTTACACAGTCTTGAAATGTGTAGACTGTAACATAAAGCAGTTGTATGTAATTACAATGAGTGTAGCCTCTTAATGAATGTTAATCAGTATATGGAAGCCTGCTATGTCCAATATCTGTTCTGTGTTGCAGCCTGGCAGTCATTGCTCTTCAGTGTGTTTTACCTAGCTGCCTTTATTTAGGAGCAAGCCGGGAGTCATATGCGTCAATGTGTTAAGTATTGTGACTCAAACTTTCACCAACAGGAAATCATGTCCTTTCTGTGACGTTTCACCCCTGTTTGCTGAGAGGCCAAGTAATGAACTTCCCACACTTGAAGTAGTCATGTGCCTATTAACTGTAGAGGGTAGTTCTAAAGCCATTGACATGAATGAAGTGTCTACTGCTTGCTAAAAACTTGTAAACAGCTCTATATAGCTACTGCCAAATGACATGAAACCTTATGTACCTTAATGTGTATGTACACACTATATTAATGTAGCCAGTTCTTGAGAGCTACAGGTTACTGGACACAGAGTGTTATGGAGGAGGTGCAAATGTTGCATGGTATGATGGATAGTAGACCTTACTGCTTCCATCACGCACGCACACTCTTTCTGTTCATGAAGAAGGACTTAGTCAGCAATAATGTTAGAAGGATAATAGAGCGTCATCTTATGTAGCAATCAGACTCTAATTATTACATTTACCTGCCATCAGAATAACTGGTCTCTACCTTCAAATATTTGTGTGGTGATGAAGAAATTCATTTAAACATGTTGCTGCCATACACAAAATGTTTATTTCAAAGAATTGTTTTCTGCTCCTGACGGCAAAATATAGCAGAAGTGAACATCGTTTTCCCATTAACAACAAAATCAATTTGTTTCTGAGAGCAGACAGTCTATTGGTTGTAGATAAATGGTCTTCTGTTAGTCATGCGTTGTTGTGGGCAGCTGAGTGGTTGGGTTCTTCCTGTAGTGCTAGAAAAGTGTCAGATTCGAGTGAGCTGGTGCCACAAGCTGGAAGGGAGTATGCTTTCCACCTTTTCCATGACAAAGTTTAATGGTGCAAACAGGGTGCTCAGGAACTGTTAAAGATTACAGAAGAACGTTACACCAAAGCAGACAACCGTTCAACATTTAAAGTGTTTTTTATTATTTAAAAAAAAAAAAAAAATTTCTTGTTAAAGTGCAAGTGAAGCCAGAACCTTTTTTTCATCTTAGTAGGGGTTACTTAAACTTTTACAACTCTTATGTTGGTCTCCTAAATAAACAGTTGAAAGTGTTTTGTTACATCTGCTTGTTGGGTGCAAAAAATATACCAGAGGGAACATACAGAAAGCACTCCAAATCTTTACCTGCTACATTTATCTGCTGTACCTGGTTCTTGACAGACACCTGAGCTCCTCTCTCCTGTCCAGCACCAGGGACTGAAGATTTAGAGTGCAGTTGTGTTACTCCTGCCAGAAATCTTGTCAGCTAGTAACTTCCTGCACACGCTGACTCTGAGCTGAGAACAATGTAGCTGATAAATCAGCCACCACATAAAAGGACTGGCAAGCTGCAATATATTTTCCTCTTCTTGGGTTTAGATACACTATAAGACCCTTTTGTTTTTCACTTCCTGTGCCAGAGGCAATCCCGACTTAGACAGTTGTCACAGGAAATGAGTGGAAACCTTTTCTGGTGATAACTCAAAAATATTTCCCATCACTTCGATAGTGGAGAAATTTTTTTTTAATCATTTTGGCCTTGCCTGCACTACATGTTCTTTTATTAGGCAGTAAAATATATCTAGTTGTGGCCTCTGTATACTGCAGAAGGTGGCATGGGCCACCTGTAAATATGCTGCTCCCCCTGAATATCTATGACTGGTGTCAATATTTGTAAAACATGTTATTTGAACGGTTATTTACAATAAATAAGCTCAAAATCAAGTTGAAAGATGACTTGCCATTAAGAGCCCCTGTATACGGGTTTCCCATCTCTCCTCAGGTCAGTTCAAATTCATTTTCAATAATAAATGATCTAGTTACATGTGCATCAGGACAACCACATTTCTTTTTAGTGGACTAGCATAACACTTACACACTAAATGGCCTGGCCTGTGTTGGGGGCAACATTCCAAGTAAGGCTAGGCACATAAGGTACGATAAACGTACGATCTGCCTATCTTGCATAGGCAGATCGTACTTGCGATGATCGCAAGCCACGCCCCTTGAGGGGCAGGCTTTCGATTACCGCAATGCCGAACGGGCAGTGTGTGCTTGCGCACACCGGCCCGTCCGGGTTTTATCTTTACAAACATGCTACAGACCCGCCGAACATCGTACGATGCTCGGCGGGTTTTGAAACATGTCCGTAAGTTTAAAGTCGTGCGACCTTACAGTAGTAGAGGTCGCACGGCTTCCACACACCTTACCATAATCGTACGATCGCGGGATTTCCCGCGATTATCGTAAGGTGTGTGGGGACCTTAAACCTGAACATACTGGACACTACTTGTTCTAATCCACCATTATTAACATTTAATAACAAGGTAGAGAATTTGAGACTGCTGCTACAAGTAAAAGGGCTGTGTGTGGTTTAACATCCCAGATTTCATGAAGCACTGACTTTATAGATCACAAACAGGTTGGAGTACGCCAATATTAAGGTAAGAAATACTCACAGCTTTTGCAAAAACTCCCATGAGCTCTGGAAACTGATGTGTGAGAAGAGCCAGCATGGCTGTGAAAGAGCAGAGGCCCGCTGTGAAGAGTATGAAGAAAGGAAGTTCTTTCTTTGGATAGACTGAAACTTCATGAAATGCTAAAACAAAAATTAAGAAGGTTACTTTTTTTAATAATTAAACATGAAAAAGTAATACTTGCACATCTTAACTCCCCAACCCATGTCCTGTTATCATTTCTTTATGTATATATTTCAGATTGTGCCTTGGGTTTTGGTTACATTCCTCTTTCTCTTATTGTGGTTTATGCTTTAAAACTTTAATAAAACGTTTGTGAAACAAAAAAAGGAATACTTGCTGGGAATGTGGGGCAAGAAGCACATCATTGTCTAGGAGGACACATTACTATTATTACCCTGCACACGCTTAGAAAGAATGTTAGGAAGAGGGAAGTCGCATGTAGTGCACAGTCCATCATCTGAAAACATTGTTTAACATGGACGTCACCCACAATTTAGTATGGTAATGTAGTGCGGAGGCTTTGACATGCTTACATAGTTACATAGTATTTGAGGTTGAATAAAGACATTAGTCCATCAAGTCCAACCTATTAGGATCTAATTCTAGGAGTACCTGCACCCCTGTATATTACGGTCCCTTAAGAAACCGTCCAAAAGTTTCTTGAACCATTCCGCATTCTTTGCTGAAATCACCACCTGTGGCAGTGAGTTCCGGACCCTAACTGATCTTACTGTGAAGAACCCCCTTCGGCCCTCGTGCTGGAATTTTTTTTCCCACCAATTTTAGGTGATGGCCTCTAGTTTTTGTAATGGAGTTAATTTTAAACAGTTTATCGCTAATGTTGCTACCACCATTGAACATTTTGTACATGGAGATCATGTAGATCCCCCCTTAATCTCCTCACCTCTAATGTGAACATTTTTAAATTTAGTAGCCTTGTCTCGTAGCTCTGGTCCTCCATACCCCTAATTAGTTTGGTTGCCCTCCGCTGGACTTTTTCCAACTCAAGGACATCTTTTCTTAGTACTGGTGACCAGAACTGGACCGCGTACTCCAGATGAGGTCGAACCAATGATCTATAAAGTGGCAAAATTATAGACTTGTCCCTGCAATACATCCCCTTTTTAATACAGGACAAGACCCTGCTAGCTTTGTTTACAGCAGCCTGGCACTGCAAACTACCTTTCAGTTTGTGGTCTACAATGACCCCCAAATCCTTCTCCATTTCTGACTTCCCCAGCGGCATACCCATAATTGTATAACCCATTTGTTTATTTTTAATTCCAAAGTGCATTACTTTGCATTTATCATCGACATTAAACCTCATCTGCCATATTAATGCCAACTCCACTATTTTATCCAGGTCCTCCTGTAATGTTATAATGTCTAAGTCCGTGTCTATTACCCTCCCAATTTTGGTGTCATCCGCAACCGTTACCCTAAGGAGAACTATGGGGAAAAACACTGACCCTATAGTTCTCTTTAAGGTTTACTGGCGTAAAGTGTCATACACAAAATAATTTTGGGGGGCAGAGATAAGTGTGCAATAGGAGGAGGAGGAGGAGTGGTAAGAGGGGTGTGCAGGAGAATGTGTGGGTTTGGAGAGGGGGTACATTGTTATATAACAAGGCATTGAGCTAGTATGGACGGCTGGACCAATGTATAAGCACCATTGATCCAACGATCCAATAAGATAGTTATTATTAGTGACAATTAGAACTAAGATGGCATTTTTTTTCTGGTAGGACTCTCCACCATCTGGTCCATGAAATTGAGTTATACCCCTCTATATTAGTAGCCCAGTCATGTGTGCTGTCCAGCCAGGTTTCCGCTATACCCGCTTACTGTATCCCATAATGCAGTGCAGGTGCTAGTGAGGGGATGAGGGCATGTCTAAGCTCCTCCCTTACATACAACAGGAACTTGGAGGTTAAAGTATGGTGTCTGCCATATTAGACACTCCCTGATATGGGAATTGGTGCCCACTTATATCCCACTTTACATCAACCCACCTAACTAATTGGGTTGTATATAGAAAGATGGAAAGAGCCTTCTACTAATCCACAGACGTATTAACGTCATCAATTTAGAAAAATAAATGGGTTAGTTCCTTATCTTAGGATAGTGAGCAGAGTCATGCAAATTATCCCTTCATGCCCCTGGGCCAACTGTACATCCAGAACTGCTACTAGTACAGATACATCCCAATATTAGAGAGTCATACAGTATATTCCAAAACACAGCATGTTTGGGGGAGCAACAATAAAGTATAGACAGATTATGGTGAGGTGGGCATAGAGCAACCAAAAATGTATATACTACTCCATGCTAGAGCACAGTACAACGCTATAACGTGCTATATTAAATAGCAGCAGGGGTCACCTCTAAAGCTGGCCATACACCTATAGATTATCTGTAGATTTTCTATGGTCAGATGGAAAAAGTGCAACAGATTCCTCCATCTACGCTAAAACTATGAGGATGGAGGAATCTCCCACTGGGCCAAGCTTCAGTATCTTGCTAGTCAGCCCCGCTGGCTGTCAAAATACCTGAACAATCTGATTGGATGCAGGAATTCTTCAGGTAATTTTGAGAGCCAGCGGGGCCGACTAGCATTGCTTTTTAATAAACAAGAACATTTGCTGCAGTCCAGAGTGCAGTGATTCATTTTCTTTTCTTAGTGATTTCCCGAAGTGCAACGAGCCACACCAGCACCTGGGGATTTCACAGAGGAGCCTTTAATGAGTTACTTTAGCTGGCCCTACATTGTTCTATTTATCTATTTATTTATTTTTGACCGTCTCCTTGGATCAGCTGATCAAGGGTTCCTGAAGAACATGTGGCCAGCTTTACCCCGAGTGGTATACATATATATTTTTAAATTTTCCTTCTATGATACCAGAATGATTATCCCCTATTTCAATAAGCTGGACACCATCATAACGTGCGTATCTAAAGATCTGGTACTTACATGGAAGTAGTTCTCTGTCTGCGGTCTCTGTACAGATGGGGTAAGGATAGAAAAGGTGACCTTTTTCCAGTGGATAAGGAATCATTCTGAATGCTGGAAAACAAAGCAAAGCACGTTGATATTGACAGAGGTCTAGTACCACTAGGCTGAATAAATAAAATAGAGATTAGCATGCAGATTTTATTTCTCAGACTATTCTCATTGCTGAATAGTCATCATTCTCACCATGCCTACATCAGGGTAAGAAGAATAAACCAAACTAGGTTCGTCTAACAATATTAAATCTTCTGTATTTTACTGCTGTAGAATCTTGAACCTTCTCTGAAATCATCTATCATTCCATTCATTTCTCCAAGGAATACATTGTGCACCCATCTCTCTGTGTACAACATAACACATGAATCCTTATTGTGATCCGACAGCCTGAGATGAGAAATGTTTTCAAAGCTCTGTGCGGTATCTTAACCAATACCAGTACTAGGTCTGACCGCTGATGTGCGTATTACCACATGGCATGTCATCAGATAGGTGTTTTGGCATACAGATGTAGATGATGAATTTATGAAGATAAAATGCCCCAATTCAGAGGGAAAATCAGGTTCCTGCTAACACATGGCATTCATTTGTGGCACATTAATCACAGACGGCTGAAATATATTTAGCAGGGACTAAAACGGCATGTATGGTATATAAATCGCATACAGCTGCCTTCTTCAGTAGAATGCTGAACGTATACAGTGCCGAGTCACAATGGACACTGGCCTACAGAACATCCTCTCACACAATGAACGGCCTTCAGACCTACACTGGTTTTCAGCACATGTAGCCAGCTGTCATGAGTGATGCCCCATCATAATCACTCTTCAAGGAACCCATTACATCACATGCCCCCAAATTGAAGACAGACAAGACTGCTGCCACACAAGAACACTCCCATTCTTCTTCGTTATCCTCTCTGGCTATTCAGCTGCATTTTTAAAGCACAACTTACAAAGACCTCCTAATGAAACATTTGAGACCCCAATATCAGAATTAGCAGGGAGATGATGTCAGCATTCTTCATACAAAGGTAAGAAGTCACTGTAAGGTATGAGAGGACACAAAAATCCTCAATGATCAAACACCTTTTCCTTCAACATGCACATGTATGTTGCTAAATTGCATCTGAACGCAAAATGTAATATATTAGCACTTACCAGTCCTGAGATGTGGTGTCACTAGAGGAAATGGCTGCATTAGTTTTCTTTTTTTAGCCTCATTACACCTGGTGATCCTGCAAATAACACTTCATGTCCCTTTGTGTCTACACTCATTCCTCCAGTGCATCTACGGGGGGCAGGTTGGACGTCAAACACGCCTGCCTTTGTTTATCTCCATTACATGGTAGAGAAGTATGGCCGCGATTTCTTTTTAAAGTCTAACACTGAAGTGAACCTTTTTTTTTTTTTAAAGTTTGATAGAGTGGAGAAGGATTAGAACACTGGTCAGGTTTTTATTGCTGTCTGGGTCCTTGTTACGGAGATTTATCCTCTCCACTTGTCCTGGTGACCCGTATCACTGAAACCAAACAAAATCAAAGATTATTCCTGTTTTGGTGACAACCCAAATGTTTGTATTGAGGGGAAATCTTCCAAAGCGGGACTCTAGTACTGGTGACCCTGCTGACCGCCAGGGATTTCCTCTCCTCGCTTCCTCCTGTGGCTATCAGACAGGAAGTGAAAGGATTTTTCCAGAATGGGACAGAGAAGGCAAAAATATGCATTTCTGAAAAGATGAAAAAGGTTTTTCTACACTTGCTGAAAATGGTCTGAAAAAAATGTAAACTAATGCAGCCACCAATGTGGCTACAGCACTGGTAAGTTGCAATATATTAACTTTTTTCAGGTTTCTATACACTATAAATGTGAATAGGAGTCTGTTGGTACAGACAAACTGACCCAAGTAAATGTCACCCATCGTTCTTTATCCCATAGTCTATAAAGCACACACTTAAGTGTGAATGTTTCCCAACTGCTTCCCATAATTGGCTTCCCTGACTCAACACCCTAAACATGGTCCCAACAATCAACCAGTTTATAATCCTAAACCTTCCACAAGTGAAAGAAAACCTTCAGTGAGAGACATTTAGTCGGCCACTGCTGACCTTTTATTCGGAAAATGCTAACAGCCCGGCTATTATGACAATACTTTGGATTTAGTACTCAAGTCCTTGCCCGGGAACAGGTATGCAAATCAGGTGAGTCAGAGGAAGGTCAGAATCCTTATGTGCATACTTCTTCCAGGTCACCGATTCAAAGTACTAAAGCAATAGGGCAGCCAGGCAACTAGCATTTTTGATGGAGAGGTCAGCAATGGTAGCATGTTTCTCTTCTGACAGGCTTTCTTCAACATTCACACAGTAAAAAAGGCGGCAAATAAGCATGTACTAGACATAGTTACCTCATAACAAGTTCAAAGACGTATCTGGTTTATTACAATGGAAATTGGTTTTGTCTTGATGCCAAAGACCATTTCAATCAACTAAAATGTGTATTAATGTAAACAGAATGTAATGTGGAGGGGTTACCAAATATTGGGCACACTTATTGGATGGACTATCACACAAACGTCCTCCATGTTATGATGAAGTGTTCTGATCTCTCCCAGAAAGGTAGAACTTCTAAGCAACTCCCAGGAGAATGGTTGGAAGTCAGCACAGCGGACTAGGGCGAGCTGTTCCTTGTAGGCAAAGAGCCACATGCAAATAGGTAAGTAGAGCTGACCGCAAGGTTTCCTGCCTCTTGGAGACTTCCGTACATGAGAAGCCGACACAAAGGGCCTCTTTTCTTCAGGACAACTAGTGAAAGGTGACACTAGAAATGTCTCAGGCTGATTTAAACTTACTCGCTGGAGAAATAAATCGCCAGGTCGTATGCTCCAAACATAATTAGCTCATATTTAAAATGCTTTCACATTTTATGCTAAATATCTTATACACTGGTAATATAAATGGGGGGAAAAACCAGGAGAGAGAAGGGGGGGGGGGGGGGGGTTTTCTA